TAAATGTTACAAACCTCCGTGTATGTTTTTTTACGTCACTTTAACTGCCTGGTATGTCTCACTGTCTGACCGTTAATTTTAATCGTTGACTTATACTTTCAACGTGTACTTTCCCTACTTTCCCTACGCCCCTACGCCCCATCTGGAACAATCATGGCTCTAACCTCTAGGGAGCTACAATACCCGAGGACATTTGTTGGTTCGGCTCGGACTCGGACGTATTTTTCTGGTGGGCTAAACAAACTCCCATTTTTAATCTGTTAGACAGATCTGCCCTAAGTTACCAACCGCAACTGAACTCAGTGACCAAGAACGTTTTTTTAATATAAGTGATGCCAGATTATATATAGGATAGGTGGGATACTTTTGTAACCTCGTTACAATATCCTCACCAAAAAACTCCCAGAGAGTACCTTGTCTTTCTTAGTAATATTATTAAACCGATGTTTTCAGTTGGCATACTTTCCTGATAAATGGAAATATGCAAAAGTTGTTCCTATTTTGAAGCCAGAAAAAAATCAGTTGAAGCTTCTACCTACCGTCCAATAAGATTGCTTACATCAACAAGAAAAAATTGGTGAAAAGATAAGTTTGAATCGAATGATGGTTTACATCAATAGGAACTCAATTTTTGCAAATGAACAGTTTGGAATTCGTCATGGGCATTCAACTTTTCATCAACTCTTAAAGCTGGGTTTATACAGGGCAAGTCAATTGATCAAGTCAGTTGAATTCAACTGACTTGAACGCGAAGTGAACGTGTAAACCATGCCATTCAACTGACTTGATCAACTCACTTGAATTGAAAAAAGTTGAACCAGGCTCAACTTTTCATGCCAATTGAATTCAACTGAGTTGATCATTTGACTTGCCTAGTCTAAACTCAGTTTAAGAGTTACCTATTTAATTCGTTCAAACAAATCTGAAAGCTGCTCAGCTGAAGTTGCAGGAAAGATTGTGTTTTGCTGTGGCTAATTGCGCGCACGCTGAGTAGATAGAAAGAAGATTGATGACGTTTCCTAAGATTTCCTGCTAAAAGGTGATGCACGATGCAAGTAGATGCGGGAAATGAAAAAAAAAGAAAAGATTTTTCGAAGGTTGATTCTCTAATGTGAGATTTTTGGAGCATCAAGACATGATATTTAGATGGGTCGCCTCCCTCGGTAAGTACCGTAACTTTTTCGGAAGTGCAGTGAAATTCTATAAAACTTCGGTAACTTCTATAAATATGACAAAATATTATTAAGTTTTTTTTTTAATTCTACGCACATTTGAAAACTTTACAGAAGTTCCGTGAGGGTCTCTAAACCACCGGAAAATTATATAGATTTATTAAAACATCTATAAGGTCACCCCAAAGGCCTAGGTTTAATCCCAGTCGGCGCTGCCGGGATGTTCTGAGGCATAACATTTCTGATCACGCCTTCCTTCGGAAGGGAAGTAAAGCTGTTGCAACGCGTTGGTCCCCGGTTCATGAGTTGATGGGTCGATAGGTAGGGTCCAGGTGTGGGAACTGCCTCCCTGGCGTCGGTAGCATTTGTGCTCAGCACGGAAAACAAGATCGACGGAAAACAAATTAAAAAAAAATCGATAAGGTTCCTTGGAATTCAATAAAGGTCCATCAAATTTGAAACGATCATCAGTTCCCTGAACTTTTCCGAACAGAACAGAACTTCTGAGAATTTCAGTGTCTCATTATCCTGAAGTCATGTATAAATATCCAGAAGTCCTCAAAGTTTCTTCCTGTAGTTTTTTAGAATAATTTCTTAGCAACCTGGTATCATTTTTCTGAAGGTTTCGATGATAAGTGTATATGGATTTTCATAGGCCATAATTGGAACACACCATAAAAGGATCGTATAGCCATAACTGGTACATCTACCCTAATTGATAATGATAATATTTATAATGATAATGAAAAGCAAAGCAAGAATGTTCGGAAGGACACGTGTGTGTAAGGGAAAATTTGCAAAAACATTTACGGTAAGTGGTGGGATTTGAACCCACAAATCCCATTCAGTACACCGGTGTATTGTCAATTATACTACGGTGCACCTTGTGTCACGACGAAATATATCACCAATGTCACGAAGCTTCTAGCTTCTCATTACAAGTAGATTCATACAAAAAACAGCTTGAATTGAACTGTTATACAGTTTTAACAACCTTCAGATGATGCCTGATCATCCTAAAGTCATGGGCAAATATCCAGAGGAGGATTTTTGAAATCCTGAAGGTCTATGAAATATTTTTGAGTAACCTGGTATCATGAAAGAATATCTGAGAGAAAGTTCTAGATATTTAAAATAATGCCTGATCATCGTAAAAATATCCAAAGGATCTTATTAAAATCTTTGGAACCTGAAGGTCGCAGGAAAAATTTCTGAACAACCTTCTATCATGAATGAATATCTTAGAGATGTGATTTGAATTGATGAACAGTTCTAGATCTATAGATTAATGCCTGAAGTCTTGCAAACATATTCAGAGGGCTTTCTTAAGATCTTTATGATCCCGAAGGTCTTTCAAATAATTTCTGAGCAACCTGGTATCATGAAATAATATTTGAAGTAAGTGATTTGAATTGTTGAACAGTTCTAGATCTTCAATATAAAGCCTAACAAACAATTTGAACTGAATAAAAGCTGAATAAGCTATATTTTTTCCTGAAGAAGCATATTTGTACCTGAACAAGCTCTTATTAAACTTTCAATGTTTGTTGGGTGATCATCCTGAAGTCTTGGAAAGATATATAGTGACTCCTATTTAGATCTTTGGAAAAAATTTCTGAGCAACCTGGTATCATGACAGAATATTTGAGAGACGTGATTTGAATTGATGGACAGTTCTAGATCTTCAGAATAATGCCTGATTATCCTGAAGTCTCAAGTGACACCGGAGGTGTAATGGTAAGCTTGATTGCCTCTCACCCCAAAAGGCCTGGGTTCAAACCCAGTCGGCGCCGCCAGGATTTTCTGAGGCATAAAATCTTTGATCGCGCCTGCCTTCGGAAGGTAATTAAAGCCGTTGGTCCCCGGTCCATGAGATGATGGGTCGGATCCTGAAGATTCAGAAAAATATTCCGAGTTCCATATTAAGACCTTTGAAATTCTGAAGGTCTTTGGAAAAAAATCTGAGCAATCTGATATCATGACATTAAATTTGAGAGGCATGATTTGAATTTTTGGACAGTTCTAGAACTACAGAATAATGCCTGATAATCCTGCAGTCTCGGCTCCATATTTAGACCATTGAAATTCTAAATAGCAATTTCACCCTTTTGAAATGTAGGCACTAATTTTGTTGCTTATGCATATGTGTGCGTGAGAGCGGTGATAGAAGATAATTGTTTGGATGCGTACTTTTCGAAAATCTCAGATTTTCTCTAATATACCGAAATCGGCGTATTAATGTAAAATCTGATATTCAAATTGAGGATAATATGGTATGGTGCTTAGCAAAATCAAGGGTAATCCTAGATTGACGTATTTTCCTCGCTGGAGCTTGCCGCTATTAATAAGTGATTGTTTGAGTGCCTTTTCAATCAGACGAAAAACAAGAAAATTGAATTATACGATTTATATCCTAAGCTACAAAATTGAATTAATGTTTTCAATTCGGAAATAGTGCAGCGAGTAAATTAAATCATTATATGGTACTAACAAAGTTACCTGTACTATCAAAGATACATGAAAAGGGATCGATTATGATTCACAAGACTTCATAAAGACGTTTGGATTTAATGCATTGCTAAGGACTACAGGACAGTCACTTTTAATTAATGGAGGCACATGACAGTTTAGATGCAAGAGCTTAAAACTTCACATTTTTCGGAAATTGTAACTCAAAGACGACTGAATATACATTGCTGAATTTGTGCCGGAAAGTCTGAGCGTTCAAGATAAAATACTAGCATCTACCTTGATCCACCCGCCATGAAAATCATAAAAAACCGAACATTTTAATTGTTTTTGCATGTATAGGAACACATTTGAGCAGCAATTATAATTTTGTTTAGCTTTTATCAGCTTTTGTAAACAATGCTTTTGATCGTCGGTTGGCGTAACTGGTAGCTTACCCACGCATGCTAACACTACCATCATATGGGGGAAATTTTCCTGATAGTGGTGTTAGTATGCGTGTGGGCGAGCTACGAGCTATGCCAAACCGACAATCAACTGCATTCTTTACAAAAGCTGATACGTCCCTTCGAAAAAGTAACCGAGAATAATGTTTTTTGGATCACCCTAACTCAGTAAGGTGTACCCTTATGACGAAATAAAAAAAAAGAACGTTACTAAAATTTTCAGAAAACGACCAAGTACACAAACTAACGATGAGCCGGCGCCGGTGGTGTAGTGGTAAGCGTGACTGCTTTCTAACACCCCGATGGCTCTGGGTTCAATCCCAGCCGAGGTCGGTGGGATTTTTCTGAGGCATAAAAATCTCTGGTCACGTCTTGCTTCGGAAGGGAAGTAAAGCCGTTGGTCCCGGCTCATGTGTGTTGTGAATGGGTGCGATATCCTACGCAGGTGTGGAAGCTGCCTTCCTGCACATTCGATTGCCGTCAATGGATGACAATCGATGTCCGTCGGTGATTGGCACTAGATTGCGGAACAGAGACCGACGTTAAATAAAGGAAAGAAGACAAACTAACGATCAAACTGACGTTTGGCAGAAAACAAGCTGACCCAATATTGATAGCCGATCCAGGTTGCAACTGAATAATAAACGAATTCGCTATTACAATAGCCGCTGATTGACAAAGCTAGTATTCATTACAGTGATAACTACATTGTATATTTGCCTGCAGATCGTAGGAAATCCCACATGCAAATCACTGCTGGCGATCAAGTGCATCCGCTAGTACCATTGATTAGTGTGGTAATGACAATCACAGTCTCAAACAAATGCCTGCAACAAATACGGTAAACGCTCCTATAGTTGCTTATAGAGTCTCCATAAGCAACAATAGGAACATTTACCCTATCGCTACTAACCTGGATCTGCGGCATCTGTAGTATTGTAGCGAATGATAAACTGTGGCACTTTGGAATTGTGGAACACCTTGGGCGTCGCTGTACCGGTAGAATAGACCACTTCCCCGGTGGGACCTTGCTGCACTGCGCGCACTATCTCGAAATCCAGTTTATCTTCCGATCGGGTGTATTGTTCCTGCACGCAATCCTCTAGCTCGATGTCATCAGGATCGTACAGACGGCGATTCTCATACCACTTGCCGGCATACTGCAAGAAACAAAAAAAAAATAACGCGCACACACATCGATCATGTTAACACGCTGCACTCGCCCACTGGTGACTCATCGGAGTCCCCTGCTGTGATGGAAGCGGGCATATTTGTTTCCCAAACTTACCCGGTTCTCGTCAAAGTCGTACGATTCCTGGAAAATCAGACAATGTTTTTCGTAGATAACAGCCTTTATCGAGCAGATTGAACCGAGAAGCAACACCACTGTGACGACGATCGCCAAATGTTTCATTTTGGACGCGCACCGTTTGTAACTTTTGCGCTTTAGACGATAACGACGGAGGATGGTTAGAAACGATCACTGCTGAGCTTGCTGTGCTGATCGACAAACATCAACTGAGCGAAAAACGTGCGCGGCCGATAACTGAGACTGGATGGACGCTGCTGTTGTGTTGTATGGGTAGAGTTCTCGGCGTTGTTTTATGGCAAGTATATATAGATTGGTTATTTGATGCTGGAAAGAGATGGCAAACTGCTGACCGTAGTTTGAAAACATAATTTGTTGACTAATGTTGTTTTCGGTTTTGCTACACTACACCGTGTAACACCGCCAAAACGAAAACGGCATTAATTTAATTGGAGTTAGCATTTATCAGCTAAGAAAACAAATGTTGCTGGTTGAATTCAATGCGCGTAGCTTCCCAATCCGACTTGAATTGAAGCAGAGTATGTTAATTTGCTGGATGTAAAGAGGTGAGCATTTTAAAAATTGTAGGGTATAATGGGTCATTTATTTATGTAGTTTAATCTCCACATTTAAAGATTTTAATTTTATCTATGCACAATGCAAAATAACTTTTTGAGTTATTTTCATTAAGTAGTTTGATAAAAGTAGGTATTATATAGCATTCAAAAATTGACAAACACAGCAGGAAATATTTTTCAAACGATTTCATCTAGGGCAAAGAAAGTCGATGAAGAGAATCGATCACTGCAGACTGTACCATTGGAGATGTTCGTCTGGATTTTGTATTCATTCCATAACCTTCTGTCAACGATGAGAAAAATAAGTTGAAGCGTCTTCGCGTCTTACTATTCCTGCTTCTTACAAGGGCGTCACAATATGAGCTTCAATCGACCGAATCGATGCGACGAGGAGACTGCTGGCTTTCGTTTTCTGTTAAGCTGGGCTTAGACTGGGCAAGTCAAATGATCAATTATTATTATTATTTAACTTTATTAAAGAGGCTTTCAGCCTTGGGCTGGTTCGCCTCCAAAACTCAAATGATCAACTCAGTTGAATTCAATTGGCTTGAAAAGTTGAGCCTGGTTCAACTTTTTTAAATTCAAGTTAGTTGATCAAGTCAGTTGAATGGCATGGGTTACACGTTCAATTTGCGTTCAAATCAGTTGAATTCAACTGACTAGATCAATTGACTTGCCCTGTCTAAACCCAGCGTCGCTCGATTATTGGTCTTTCTTTCAAGCTTCGGTGAAACAGACGAGCAAAAGAACGCTCGACTTTGATAGTTTCGTCTTTCATGAAACACATCAACAGAGGTTTCATGACGTAGGGAAAATGCTAGGCGCCTAATACCGCCTAGGGGGAAATGGATGTAATGTCGGCCTAAATGCTCCTAATTTGGGCCCATACATAAATTCACCAATGGACTAAATTTTCAATAGCGACCAAAAATATCCATTAGTATCGTCCCAATGACGCGGTAATCTAGATAAAATTAATTAATAGCAGATTTTTAGCGATGGGCCCAATCTTAGATCCATAGGCTAACATTAGAGCCATTTCCCCTATATGATGGAAAATGAAAATATAAATTTAAAACATTTCTCACGTGAAAACACTTGAAGATTAAACGGTATATATTTATCTAAAAAAAAAATCAACGAAAACGGAACATTACGCATTTTAAACAAATCGAAAGAGCGGTGATAGAGTGTTCGTGAAAGGGATTGAAAGCCATAAATGAGGTTTCTTTTAACTAGAAAATTTACGTTACTTACATTGAAAGCAATGAGCAAAGCAACGACGAGAAGATCCACAGCCAGCGTTTCCTTCTAAGTGTGCTGCTGATGCCTTGCTGATAGCGAAGACTACAAATCAAGAAGACTGGCAACTGTTCCCTTCTCCCATACAAATTTCAAACGTAACTGATAACAGCGCCTCTGTCAATCAAAGGTGGAACTTTGAAACACAAGTGTTAGTGAGACTGCTCATAAACAGTGACTGTGTGTGTGTGAACTAATGTCACCGAATGAATAATTATAACATGGTACTCGTTGTTTTTTTGTTTTGCTCTACAAAATTTCATGGCAATTTGTATCCTAATCCCAGCAAGCCGGTGGTTTTCCAACTCCAAACCGAAAAACTTGTCATGGTGGATAATGTTGAGGATTGAAACTCGAATCGATACCTAGTGAAAGTAACTTTTGCTTATGAACGAGGAACCGAAATATTGTTTATTTAGCCTGTTGGAAGCAATAAATTAAAAGGAATTGTCAGCCACCATTGAGTGAACTACCGTCATTCGGAAGCTGCTGAAAATTCAAGGATCCAAAAGAAGAAAGATCCTGTACCTAAATCACGATCCAACGGAAGGCGTAGCATGATCTACTGTTGGAGATAATGAAAATAAAAGGTTGAAGGACTGCAATCCCAAACGGTACGTATTGATAAAGAAAATATTTCCATTTTAGATGTTGTCAGAACATGAAAACACCATAGTGATCCTCTGTATGCCGTAACAATTCTTGGAATCGACCGACCCCTTGGCCAGTGACATTCAAATGGCCAGCGTGTACCTACTGTGCCAAGTTGCCGAGCGTCACAACTTAAACCCCTCATTGTGACCAGGTGCCAAAGCCATGCGGAACGGGCATGCATTTTACTAATGCACCATACGAATGCCCATAAATGCGTCACTAAAGAGCTTAGGAAAAGTAGAAGATAATTCTGAGATAGCAAATTAATGATCGAGGAAGGTCCCACCATCATTGTGAATGGCATCATTTCCATAGTTTTAATTTTCAAAACATATTTACGTACGCATCTGTTCAGTTTCAGCTGGAGTTTTAATCGTTGTCAGCATAAAGCAAAGAAAGAAACGTTTCACTTTTTACGACAATCATAACAAAACAAATTGACAGCTATTTATTTCTACCTATGTGTGTGAATGTACTCGTGAATTAACATACACCATCATACACAGGTTCCACTTTTTCTCAGAAGAGGCGTTGTCGTTACTGTCTCCTGATTTTTGGCAGAGTTGTCAGTCTTCTTGATTTGTAGTCTTCGCTGATAGTCTAGCTAGGTGTTATAGAAATTAAGCGTTCAACACGTTGTTTGAGAGAAACAATACTCAAGTTCATTTTAGAGCTTTGAAAATGTAGAGCCCCGCTTCTATCAATAAAGCATTCATATAGGGCGTATCAGAAAGTATAAGCATGGTTTGATATTGGAATTAAAACATTTTTTCATGGAGCACACATTTTTTATATTTTAGCTACAGGGTGATTCGGAAAGACTGTCACTTTAAAAAAAATGATCGTTATGATTGAACGCTTGCATTAATTTTTGATATCAGTATGTTACAGATTTGTACATTTTATGTTCTTAAATCTTGTTCAGTGCTTTTTTTGCTGGAAATATTGTTTTTCAAATTTTCCGCAATCAAAACTGCTGAATTTTCGTAATTTATAGAAATTTACCGAAAACTGTAAATCAAAATAACTTATCGAAACTGTATATGGCTGCAATTCCCTCATACCGTAAAAATGGTGACGAATGTACTGGAAAAATAATCTTTTACAAATTACTGAACAGATTTGTAAACTGTATACTGTAAAACTCCAGCTTCATTTCAAAGTTGAGTTTTCTTCGGTTCTCCGTTCAATGCATTTATTTTAAAAACCAGTACTGGTGCACAGGTAACCAAACGTAGTAGATTGATTTGTTAAACTATTTGCGTAAGTTTTGGTTTGAATAATGATTGTTCGAAAATTTGAAAACATGGCTGTGGGGTGAAATTGATCAAAAGTTATTTGATTGATTTTTATGACATAATAGATTTTTTTAATTTATTTATTATTTTGATAACGCTCAATCGAATTATCTTTACGATAACGCTCAATCGAATTATCTTTACACAGGATTCTTGTTCACTGTACAAAACATCGTAAAACTAGAGTCGAAAGGTACAATACAATAAACACTTTATCTTCCGCTATCCAATAAGCCTCCTTCATCAGAATAGGATCTGCTTAAAGTGGTTTCATTGTATGGCAGTATGGCCAATGGGGGCCATTGCGCTTCCATTGTAGCAATGGATGCAAAACGTGGTCATCACTCACACACTCATCACGAAACGGTTGCTTTCCAAAGTCTACGGCGCATCGACCGAAAGAACTGCTGATGAAGAGGAGAGGAGGACCACACAATGGTTGCTGCCGACACACATCGAGAGTGGCTTGCTTCTGTCGACAGCCGAGTGAACACTTTGTTACAATAGTTGTTGCAGTTATTTTATCACGCTCTACCTGGTCCACCCATCGTGCTCTCTGCGCTCCACGCCTTCTTGGGCCAACCGGATCAGTAGCGTACACCAACTTTGCAGGGTTGTTGTCCGGCAGTCTTGCAACATGCCCTGCCCCCACCGCATCCTTCCGGCTGGATGCTGGGTTCGCCGTAGAGTGCAGCGAGCTCGTGGTTCATTCTTCGCCGCCACTCACCGTTCTCCTGCACACCGCCGAAGATCGTCCTTAGCACACGTCGCTCGAAAACTCCGAGTGCTTGCAGGTCCTCCTCGAGCATAGTCCATGTCTCGTGTCCATAGAGGACCACCGGTCTTATTATCTTTCTGTACATGGTACATTTGGTGCGCGGGTGAATCTTTTTTGACCGTAGTTTCTTCTGGAGCCTGTAGTAGGCACGATTTCCACTGATGATGCGCCTTCGTATTTCACGACTCACATTGTTGTCAGCCGTCAGTAAGGATGCAAGGTAAACGAATTCCTCCACTACCTCGAAAGTATCCCCGTCTATCGTGACATTACGTCCTAGACGAATCCTGTCATGTTCGGTTCCGCCTACTAGCATGTACTTTGTTTTTGAGGCACTCACCACCAGTCCGACTTTTGCTGCTTCGTGTTTCAGGCGGGTGTATAGTTCTGCCACCGTTCCAAATGTTCTTGCGATAATGTCCATGTCGTCCGCAAAGCACACAAATTGGCCGGATTTCGTGAAGATCGTACCCCGGCTGTTGAGCCCGGCATTACACCTTCTAGAGCGATGTTGAAGAGTAGGCATGAGAATCCGTCACCTTGTCGCAGTCCCCGGCGGGATTCGAATGAACTGGATAGTTCACCCGAAACCCTTACGCAGTTTTGCACACCGTCCATTGTTGCTTTGATCAGTCTGAAAAGCCGTTCTCGTCCATGATTTTCCATAGCTCTGTGCGGTCGATACTGTCGTATGCCGCCTTAAAGTCGATGAACAAATGATACGTTGGGACCTGGTATTCACGGCATTTCTGGAGGATTTGCCGCACGGTGAAGATCTGGTCCGTTGTCGATCGGCCGTCCATGAAGCCGGCTTGATAACTTCCCACGAACTCGGTCATTTTATGTGATAGACGACGGAAGATGATCTGGGATAGCACTTTGTAGGCGGCATTCAAAATGGTGATCGCTCTGAAGTTCTCACATTCCACTCGGACGTAGATCAGCCACCCTTAACATGGGGAACAGACGCTGTTGTGAGCCGCTCCTCCTGGAGAACAGACGCTCAGGATTGCCTTCCCTGTCAGGCTATGCCAAATTTCGCACCGGGGTTGGTTACCCGATCTTCCCTAAGGTTGCTCACAGTTCCCGGCTGGTACCACGGGGAGGTAGGGATAGGAGTTGCTGGGAAGAGGCTAGTGATCTCAATGGGATCTGTATTGCGCATTACCCAGCATTTACCGATCACGGATATCTACTACCTTAAATCGTTGTACTGCTCCTTGTCTCGCTCCATATTATAATACTGCTCGGTTATCTGGACTCCTCGCTACAACAACGGTGTCAAAAGAGTTGAGTCTATTTAGCGACGGTTCCTGACAAGCGAGCTACGTGAACTGCCGTGGATTGATCCCTTCCGATTTCCTAGCTACGAAAGTTGTCCGAAGAGATACAGCAAGGGCATTGCTAATTGCGGATACTTTGCAAGGACGTACCGATTGCCCTGTTCTCTTTGAGCAAGTTGACATCAATGTTCAACCCCGAGCCCTACGGAATAATTCAATGCTGCGTCTGCCTATACAGCGAACTAATTATAGCATGCTCAGCGCAGTCGATGATTTACAGAGACTCTTCAATAATGTCTCCGCACTGTTTGACTTTGACCTAACTCGCCAATTGCTTCGCCGGAGGTTTAGTTCGTTTGTTTTTCAAGATCAGTTTAGTTTGTCTAGTAATGTTCCTTTTTTTACGAGATGACTATCTATGTACTTATTGATGTCTAGTTTTAGTACTTTTCATGTTTAGTTAAGGTTACATCATTGAGGCCAATGATGCCTGTTGATGTTTAATTATAAATAAATAAATGAGTAGTTGAATTCCCATGACAAAATCCAAACTGCTCATCTGCATATATTGAGATTGTATATCACTTTTAAGCATCATTCTATTCAATATTATTATTTCTATAAGTTTACTTATAAAATAAAGCAAAGTTATTGGCTTGAAAATTGGAAGAACTTTATCATTTTTCGCTTTTTTTTCCTTTGGTTTGTTTTCCGTCGATCTTGTTTTCCGTGCTGAGCACCAATGCTACCGACGCCAGGGAGGCAGCCTCCACACCTGGACCCTACATATCGACCCTATATATCGAGCTGGGGTACCTTCAACTTTGTAGTTAGGGGTGTTTCAATAAACACTTGTGTTTCGGATACTCTGAAAAACGTGATTTCATGGAAACATCGATGGGCTTTTTGAAAAAGTCCTATTTCCATAGCCATTTCCGATAAAACATACATCTATGTAATAAAATTTAGTGAAACTAATGCTATTTTTACAAATTTCTTTGAGTTCAAAAAAAGATAAGAGAAACTTGTCACGGTATGCTAGATGCGTCTTTTTTTTCGAGACTATTTAGGAAATTACAGGATATAATTAATGTTTGGCAATAAAAGCATTTATTGATAAAAAAGGGGTATCAAAACATGTCCCGAAATCGATTTATTTCCGGAAAAAGATAGAAAACTTTATGATGAACACATTTACTGAGAAGAGTACGTTTCTATCGTGGATGACTCATATGATTGAAGTACGTGTTTGTTTTTAATTAGACACCATCATGCATTTTGAGTTAGCTGTAAATTGCAATGAGTTTGATGTTAATATTGATAGCTAGATGCACCACCTATAATTTAAATACGAAAAATGCTAGAGAAAGTGTAACAATCGCTTTTGTTCTCTGGGTCGGCTTCTTTTCGCCAAGGTCTGCGAGATTAGAGGAAAAACCACAAGACAATTAATTTGATTATTGACGGCGATTTATTGAATTTTTGCCCTAACGGTCCCTAACAGCCCTATCTCTTCCTATCTGTAACTACTTACGGTTTCTTTTTGTGTGTGGTGTCATTGTCGGGCCCGTCGATGAATGCTCGCTGATTAGTTCCGCAACGGATTGCACGATGTCTCCGTGCCTAGTCGAATCCTTGGCCTCCTTCCTTGCCGTTCGCGCCGATCTGGCCTCCCCGATATCTGGTGATGATCGTTCGTGACAATCGTGCCGACGGCCCCGATTCCACCGTGTGCGTCGATTACGCTGATTGTACGGATCACACTGGTCTCGTTCTCTTGGATTCGCAGGTTTAAAGTCTCGCTTCGTCCACTTATGTCAGCTTACCGTTTTTTGTATGGCAGTGACGACTCTGGTGGTTTCGTAGAACCTTTCCACCGCTTTATGGAGAATAAATTCCTTCACCAACTTTTTCTTCGTGAGCTAACGTGTGGGCGCTTTCCTGGTGCTCAAACAAGTGACCGAGCCAATATATTTGCAATCCTCAGGAACGGGCGAATAGGCCTTTTTCTGTGGTTGTTGTAGGTAGCATCCACCCATTAGGCAGTACTGCTACCAAAAATACCAGCGTTTAGGGGTGTATTGTGGATGTGTCGTGTTGTTGAGGCTGCGTATAAAACCTTCACAGTGTGTTGTGTTTTTTTTTTTTAGTCGTTAGCCGTCTTTTGCCTCCTAGATTAATTTTGCATGATACCTAGTTTAATTTATTTCTTTGCATGAATTTTATTATTTATATAGCTTTTATATTTATTTTTTTAGTCTGAATTAGGTCCCTATCTAGCTAGTTAATATTTTTGATGATTTTTCCTCTATACACATAAACAAATCCCCATTTGTGGTAAGAAAACTATGGACTGAGTGCACGAACGGAATGACTTGTCACAAAAGCTATGATTTAAACTAGGCGGAGGTGACTCTGCGTGTAAATCAAATGAAGAGTCACCTCACTCGCTGTGACTATTGTCACCTCACTTGTGATAGCGAGTCACCTCACCCCACTCGCAGCGCAGAATAGACCTCATAGTTTCATCACGTTTCCCATACATTTTCAAGTCCTCCCGCAAATCCAGATCCAAATTTAACCAAATTTTGCACAGCTCCGAGCTGATTCCAGATTAGGTTTCAAACCGGCGATTGAAGTCATTGTTTACAAAAGCAGTTGCACCAAAATCTCAAATCCCTTTGGAGTTGTTTAGGACCTCAATGTAAATCGAAATAGCTGGTGTAACAGGGGGTTGTGAAAATGATCCACCCTAATAGTCAGTATTTCTAAAAACATACCAAATGTGTGAAGAAATGTTAATGTTAACAATAGGATACGGCAGCGAGAAGTATTTGAAATAATAGGTACTACTGGGATATCGGTATATCATTTATGGATGAATTATGATTTTATGATATCGTTGAAATCTGAGGATACGCATTCCGGAAAGGACGCATCAATTAATTAAACATACAGATCAGGGTAAAAGGGCAAAGAATCATTCTGTGTACCATTTTATTTACCATTCAAACTTTCTTTAACATCGCCAACGCCACAATCACCAAAACACTGGAAACTTTTACCAACGAAGCATTGCTGCAAAACTCCTCTCCCTGTTTCGTTACTCGGAGGGACTCTGGCTGCAAATAGGTGCTGACGATACTATCCACAAGTGTTTCTGCTGATTGGTCGAGCACAGGATTCCGGGATAGAACCCAAGCTGATTCTAAATGAAAAGTAAAGAGCTGTCATTAATACAATTTGTTGGCCAAAGTCACCAAAGCTGCATCACGAACCAGATGAATCATCTCCGTTTGGTCGACAGGACCAAACGACGGCATAGTGCTGATAATTGGTTCCCAGCACCCAATAGTCGGAATCGGGGACGTTTGCCGGAGTGCTATCAAATCGCACCTTCAATTTGGCTTCACCACTAGTGGCGCTGGCCAGCACTGCTCGACCTCGTGCTACCAGCGTTTGCTGACTGGGTAGCAGTTTCATCGTGTTTTCGACGGTCACTTCCATGACGGATGCGTTGAGCGTGTAACGGGCTGTGACACAGTCACCGTTTGGTTGGTCTGCGTTCTCGTAGCGCTTTATCTCGTACCAGGTGCCCATGTACTGGTTGGAGGCAAAAGGGAAAAACGATAGCATGAATGACCTGGGCCATGTCACTGACAATGGTTTGTTATTTATCAGTGCATGAAAAAGTGGCAATTCAAGAATTGAGACCTGCTGTCACTGCAGGAAGTGTATTGATAAATCAGTCATGAAATCGTATGTAGATGTCATTAGAGCTTTTCGATCATGCTTATCCTCTTATCACTTAAGTTATTATATGACATGTGCTGAGACAATTTGTTGGACTAAATTAGATTGATTGATAGCGTTGCAAGATGACTCAAGGGGAAGCTTACCACTTTGCTAAGAAATAATTAAGTTTAAAAAAAAAAAAAAATTGGAGAAGATACAAATCAGCCTTCATTATTTTATTTAGAGTTCATTTTTCTTAGATTAAAAAAATACGGGAAAAACTGATATTCTTGGATTTTTGATATATTTACTAATATGTTTAGCAAACTCAAAGCGTGTCAGAGAAAATATGTTTTTTTGGGCTGTAAGCTGGCCCTTCGGTATTGTTTTTTAAATAAAGGGTATCCACGATAAAAAATGGGCCTCACAAAATTATTCACCAAAAATAAAATATTGAATGTTTTAAATTTTTAGTGTTAGGAAATGAAGTTAGCATATTGGTAAATAAAGAAATCAAGAACAACATGTGAAAAGGGCATACAAACTTTTTGTAAACAAAACTTCTTATGCCTTTTTCTCGCCAATCATATGACACCAACGCAAACCATTAGCATTAGCGGGTAGAGTAAGCTTTCCCCTTCCCAATGATGTTGTTGGTTTGCGTGGGCGACCGTCGGTTGGCGAGAAAAGGGCCTACAAAGGTTTGTTTACAAAAAGCTTGTATGCCCTTTTTACATGTGGCTCTTGAAATGTATTGTTCATTTTCATTACAAGGTAAACGATAAGTGATGTCATGGTTAATATGAAACTGCCCGCAAACAAACCCTAAAGGGATCCGTGAACAACAGTTCACGGTGTACATTTCATATTAGACGTGGTCCATAAACGGCTCCTGTTTACTAATATGGGATCAGATTTTTTTCCGAATGGATACTAGAGATATGCGAACGCTCACGAGCTGCTTATCTGACCCAGTTCAGTCAAAAAAAGTGAACGAGCGACGGCTCTCAAGTGAACGTTGGTTTTCAAAATTGAATGGTGGCTCACTACACGGTAAGAAAAAAGTACCCAAGGCCAGTTGACTTTTACCTATTTTACTAGTTTGTCTCCTTTTCTCCTTCTAATGATGTCAAAAACGCGTTACTTTTGGGTAGAATGTTAGTGGAAAATTCCAGCCCAGTGGCAGGCGCGTAGGCAACTTGTTATACCGTGACCGCGGGCCCAGCACAAAAAAATAAACGATTTGAGACCAGGACATGCTGCCTACTGTCAAACGCTGCTTTTGGTATAGGCCTTGTCACTGGCCTGGAAAATTCAATACGAATTGCACAAATTAAATGAAAACTACTATGACCCGCTTTACCTACTTTTGGGTTCCTGCACTGTAGTGCCGACATGAGTGAAAAGAACTTACTTTTGGGAACTTTTTTCTTACCGTGCACCACTACGGAATGACGCATAAACATGAACCACGAACAGCTTCAGCAAATTAACTCACTGCTGCTGTCAAATTTTCGAATGTTTCCTGTTCATTAGCGTTCGCTCGTTCGCTCTTTTCTTCTCTCCCTTATGGGGTGTTTACACTTGTGCTGCTTCACCTATGTGTAAACTCATGCGCTTGTGCTCATATGGGAGACGACTTGCCTAAAGGGCAGACGAATTAGTTCCTTTACCTACTTTGAGCGCTGCTTATATGCCTTTAACCTTAACAGGCCTGATGATCACAAAGTTCATGGTTAGAGTCCCGGTCTGCAGCGTTTTTTGTTATTTTATAATTTTGCTCCGTGCACAAACCCATGTACAATAGACTCATGTGCAAACATCTGCAAATACACTTATGTACATCAAAACACCAAAGTGTATTGTATGAATTATACCTGTGTACAAAATAGCGTGTAAATTCAAGCTGAACATTAGCTTTGATTTTTGTGCATAAGCTCAAAATGGTACATGTTTTCGTGAAGACTGCTTCTGACATTACAATCACAGACAAACAGACATAACACTCGAAAGTTGTTCATCGAACAAGCATTTAACAGTCAATTTAAAAGTATCGTAGTTGGTAGTACCGCCACCTGTGGCGCACATAGTCAATTCCCTTGCGATTGACGTTTACACACTACCGCCATCTGTTCAGCGTACTACCCAGTGCTGAGTTGCATCACGGTACTGACAGCCTTTAGATTGACAAAAGAGATTCCTACGGTTAACAATCAAAACAACTGAGAACCTTCTCTTCGTAAAACTTCTCACCAGTATGACACAACAACCGTGATATATCGTTGTTTTGCTTTTCTCACTCATTCGCAATATCACTCATATCTGCCATGTGTTACCATCATATCACCGAGGAAATATAAACAGACATATAAATTGACCGTCATCTCATTTCGAGCATAAATACGGTTATGACGGTCATTCCCCTTCCAAAATCACGGATGAGGCGATAGCTGTGATGCATCAAGGAAAAAGTCTTATCCTGCGTTATACAATCGTATCATAACCAATCATTATTATTGTAAGAAATCATATCTGCATGAACACGTACTACCTGCAGTCACGAATGCTTATTCTGCACATTGTAGACGAAATATGCGTATCTGTCAATGATAAGCAAATAAGGTAGTGGAATTAAATGGAAATTACTAATCCTTCTCTCTCTCATTATACAGGTATTTCACTAAGACGCCCACATTCATCAGGTGTTATGTCTGTTTGTCTGTGTTTCAATGTTATAAAATGGCTCAAATAAACCGTACGTGCCGATTTATTTCAATGTTGCCAGTGCTGCAGCAACTCAACTTCAGTCATAACGCTCGATTGGGTAGCCAGTTAGCGTCAGACGGTGGGAATAAGAGCGAGATAGGTGCACGAAATAAGAAGGCCAGAACTGGCTTTGCGGGTATACTCAAATCTGTACTGTTATACGACAGCAAGACACTGCTCGTATCAGTAGAGAACACTCAAAAGCTGCAGGTGTTCATCAACCGTTGTTGTTTACGGTATATAATTCTCCCAAGCAACCTAAACTTCGGATATTACTTGAGTAACGAACTCAAAAGTTCACGTCTGGTTCAAATTTAGTTCCGTGGAACTTTCTTGCTGATTAACAAAGCACTACACGTACAAACAGAACTTAATGCTCTTTTAAGTACCGCCAATATTTATTGGAATCTTGAAAGTTCAACAGAAGTTTCTTGTTCCCGTTCATTTGAACTGTGAAGTTCACAAAAAGTGAATAAAGAACTTGTTTCGAACCTCTAACACAAAGTTCAATCTTAGTACTAACCGTACTTTTAAGCAACGCGTAAGTTCACAATTAATCTATGTTGAACTTCTTTCAGACTTTAAAGTACACGTAAAGTTCTAGATAAGTTCGTAGGAAGTTCGACTTGAACCTTGACTTGAACTTGTAAGCAACTTTAGAAATGTCAATTTCTAGCAGCTTTTTTCGTCACGGATCACTATTTGCGTTTGGGCAGAATAACATGTGTCCACTTTTTTATTTCCGCAGCCATTGATCTGGAAGGACCGAAAGCTTCTTACAGCCTCGAGCATGTTTCTACTACGGCGAATGGCATTTCTGTTAGTAAAACCCGAATTTATCCACCTATGGTGTGATCAGACCCTTCTTACTTATTCAAGTTTATTTATTTTATTGTCATTATCAGTGACCAAGCCCCCCACCCCCGTGTCATCCAGTGACGCTACGCCACTGCCTGGGGGTACCCGGAATATATCCGGGTGTAGTCTATTTGGTGAGGCTACCAATCACCTTATCATCGTATTTTAATGTGATTTAATGGGTTTTAATTCAATTCATATTCAAGCAACTTCCCCGGGGTACCCGGAACATGTCCAAGTGTGTCCAATGTGGTCTGAAACACTTAACACGACTTGCATTGATCTTATTTTTGAATTCTGTAGTAATTTGATGTGCCGCATGATGGTTTTAATACGTTTTCCGTTAAATCCAGGGTGAAGGCCCATATTCACCGGATCTTATTCCGGCCATTTCTCCGGAACCGGTTCACCGATTCCAAAACCGTTCAATAGCGTTCAATGGGACCCCAAGACCTATCATTTGGCGCCGAGTTTGTCCAAATCGGTTGAGCGGTTGCTGAGAAACGTGAGCGCATTCATTTCGTTACATACACACACACACACACACACACATACATGTTCCGATCTCGTCGAGCTGAGTCGAATGGTATATGACACTCGGCCCTCCGGGCCTCGGATCGATAGTCGGTTTTTCAAGTGATATCTATACCCTTCTTTGTAAGAAGGGTAAAAATACATTATATTTTCATAAATTTCATTGAGGTTTGCATTCCACTATCATACCTTGCTGATTATCTGAATAAAACAAGTCTCAAAACAGGTAAATTTACTTAAATTGTTTCGTACTTTTCGAGGTTACTGAAAACTTCTGCGGAAAACAAAAAAAAAATCTGTCAAATGTCAAACGTTGCAAGTTCACAGTAAGTTCCGTATGAACTTTTTAGCAACTTTCAAGTTCAGATAAGGTTCTACATGAACTAATCAGAGACTTTGAAGTTCAAAAATAGTTCTTACGGAACTTGAAAGCAGATTTGGCTACTCTGAAAATAATTTTTATGAATGAAATCAACACATCGAGTAAAATCATATGACATTCCAGTTCATTCACAAAGAGCAGTGGTATGCATCTCGGTTTCAAAGAGGAGGACTCGAGTTCGAGACTTGCGGTAAATAATTAAAAAAAACATGTAATTTAAATTAAATATTTGACCATATTTCAAACATTTATCTTTCAACGACGCAGCAGTTCATAATAAATTAGAAGAGAACGTGGTAAGCAGCAAAATGATAGATATATTTGTTTTCTATGTTGGTTTATTGATTTCATTCAAGTTTTCTTTTTGGGCTGAATAGCATTCCCTCCAACGGTTAAACGAACCTTTTGTGAACTTTTAAGTTCTTTTTAAAAGTGAAACAGCATTCTGTTAGAAGCTTAAACATCGAATGTGAACTTGTAAGTTCGGTTAATTACTTAAAAAGTAAGCTGAATAGAATTCTCTTCAAAATCCTTCGATTGGCTGATTAAGCCAAAAGAGGGCTTTTATCCGAACTTTTGGTTGCTTGGGATGGCTTCTCAACTGTATCTCACATGCTGAGATAAATGGGAATGGGAAATGACAGGTGGGCAGGAACTCACGGTCTCCCAGTGTTGGTGAGTTCTTTGCCGTTAATGTTCACGAAAAGTTCACTATTTTGCCATACAGAAATTCAAAACAAAAAATTTTATCTGCGGATTTGGACAGTTTTTTACCTGTTTCATACGACCGGAAGCTGTATGCTGGTCACAAATGCCGTGCCAAACTGATTTCCTACGCAATTAATCAATCTTTGATGTGAATTTCGCTCTTATAGCAAAACTCGCCATAACAAAATGGGTGGTTCATTTTAGTAAACAAAATAACACTTGTTCCGACTGTGTCACCTTTCTTACTCACCTAGGGGTTGACCACACACTACAGGGACTGCAATCTGCTAGCAAGCACTGGATTAGAACCCAGTAGGAGCTCATGAAAGCGGACCCTCAACAAGGAAATCAAACAAGTCGATTGGAATTTAATCTGCGCCTAGGTTAAAGCAAAAGCGAGCAGCTGCACAGGAATGATTCGTGTTGACGCTTTGCACCACATAAGTGAGAATGAGTTTGCTTGGTCGAAACATCGAAAGGCCTAGATCTGAATCACATTACCTATAACGACATTCAACAAGAACTGTGCAGCATCCTATATGTTATTCCATGAGTAGCCATGGGTAACCACCATGGCGGGACTGGATCGGACAGCTGACAGCACATAATCTTGGAGTTCCGGCAAGGATTCATGAAAAAGCACTCAACGATCTCCAACTTGATCGATCACTGGTAGCATCGAGAAGAATCAGTAAACAGACTTCGTGTGTACTTGTCTAAACATTTCAACAAAGTCCTTAACCATCTCGCTATCATAAAGCCGCCTTGGTCAAACACCGCGGTCCGTTCGCTGGTTAAAATAATATTTATCATCCATGAAGGAGCTGTAATTTTCGTTTTATTTATTAACCACGTATGTGATCACTTATATTTCTGTTTGGTAGTAGCCAAGATGCAGATTATTCGAACATTTACCATGTGATCAAAATGACCTGTGCACTTAAAACTGACATTGAGTTATATAGCCAAGACTTTCAAATGCAAATTCATTAACTTTACCCGTGGTCATTCACTGATCACCGATTCACAGATGAATCAAAAGAAAAGAATAAATCCGTTAAAAATCTTGAACTCATCTTAGATCGAAAATTAATGTTCAACCAGCACTTATCTTTGTTTATTGCTAAGGCAAATTCCATGCTTGGAATTTTGCGTCGCAATTTGACGATGTGCACGCCTCGAAAACGTTAGCTGTACTAGGCCTCATATCACACGTCGAAACGACAAACTGTTTCATACAAGCGTTCATACAAAAAAATGCTTCGTTTCGACATGCGTAATGAGGCCCCTGTTCTTTGGTGGTGTTCTGAATATTCAGTAAAGTTTTTGGCTCCGTAGGGGAAACGCTCCTATAGTTGCGGTACGTTAGAAGCGTTAGGTTCCTATAATTGTGTATGGAGACTCAATACACAACTATAGGAACCTAACGCTTCTAACGTACCGCAACTATAGGAGCGTTAACCCTAGTCCTTTTGAAAAAATCCAAAACCGAATTGTCAGTTTTGCATTACTGCGGCTTCCATGGACCAATCCCAATAATCTACCACCGTATAAGGTATAGGCACTTTTTATCTAATCATCATGTTTCCTCGGCAAATCATTCCTCCATAGCTCACTTACTTTTTACATCTTTTTTATAACTTATAAGAAATATGTGCAACTGCAAACCTACTCACCTCAGTTGCATTGAACTGGCCTTCCACAGGTAAGATTCTGCATGGCCCCGATACATCAAGGCACTCACTACCGCCAAACAAAATCGAACTAATCAAGAAGAAAGCTACAACCAAATTCGAGTTGACCGGCATGTTGAGTATCGTTTCAGTGAATGAGATCTCCAAATATAGGTTCTATAGCTCCCAAACGACCTTATCCTTATCAACGCAAACCAAATACTGACATCGTTCTGCAATTGTGGCCTAAAGATATATGCTGCCGAAGGTTGAGCTGGTGAGTCATGTCTGCTGATAAAGGAAGTACAAACAAGTGATGTCTTCTTCGGCGGCGATAGGGTTGAATTGCTCAGACATTTGGCTGCAGGTGGAGTACAATTAGACAGTCAAAATATGGATTTATGATCCATCGGATTGCGGTGAATCAACAGTAACAAGTTAAGTAATGCAAGTCTGGAATTTTAACTTTATGATCGAGCCAGTGGTGTCACGGTAAATTGAGAGCTGGTTACTCGCTGAATTATGTGTGCCACAACTACTTTAAATTCATGCGCCCCCTTTCACAAGAGCCCATTATTGTAATACATGTAAGCACAATTTAGTTCCCTCTAGACACTGAGGTATGGGTATAGTCATAAAACTTATAGGGAAGAGTGTCATGCATACAATCTAATCAATTCGTTTTGATAGCTATTGATTGTTGAGGCGTAAAAAAAATTCGTGAATCCAGATCCTATCCTTGATTAGCCCTCAAACACTGTTCAATCCCATGCCAATTGGTGAGAATTTTCCTAAAGTTTTCAAAACTTCCTGTAAGTTACCAAAATCTTCCAGATGTTCATGGATCGCACATAATGATCCCGTAATATTCCTGAAATTCTTGGAACTTCCCTGAACTTCACAAAGCTTCTGTAAAGATTTTTAAGCTTTTGTGAACTGGAAAATTCCCTGAAGTTCTCTGGACTTGCCAAAAATTCTCTGAGCAGAACTTCTTAAACTTTTTGTTTTTCATGATTTGTTTCCCGTCTATCTTGTTTTTCGTACTGAGCACCAATGCTACCGACACCGATCCACCCATCATTTCATGAACCGAGGATCAATGGCTCTACTGCTCAGAGATTTTATGCCTCAGAAATTCCCGGAGGCGCTGACTAGGATTGAATCCAGGCCCTTTGGGGAGAACTTCTCCGTTGCCGCGATTTTCGTAATATTCATGATTTTTTTTCTGACTCTTCCGTTATTTTTCATGAAGAGCTTCTCAGTAGGGTAGAGCGCTACTTGGTCGTAATCGCCCATTTCCGTTCTATCGATCAAAAAAGATCAATAATATCAATGACTACAACATGCACAAATCAATAATATGTTTGTTCCGATGCGTTAATTTATCTACAGCTACAACATAAATCCTATTAGAGCACATTGTATGAATATTTATGCGCATTGTTCTCAAAACAAAAGAAGCCCTTCTAGTGAATCCCCTTTTTCTACGTTTATCCGTAGGACGAAGAAAATCTAATGGCGTTTTAATGCATAAGGACGGAATTGAAACTCGTAGAACGAATTTAGAATCAAGAAGCTGTATTAGATTTTAAACAATATCTCAACAATTTGTGACTATTTATCAAATCTAACGGTACGTATGGAAAAGTGAATAAATTTAGAAGTAATGTTTGACAGAAATGTTCCATTTTTTGTTTAAACTCGTTCAGAAAAGCGAGTTGTGCTTAGTAGGACGGAAATTAGATCAAAAACCCAAGTTCCCGTAATTTTACTGGAATTCTCGTAGCATCTTTGAAGTTCGCTATACTGCTGTGATGTTCCCTAATCATCTTTGAAGTTTTCTTGACTTATTTGGAGTTCTTTAGGCTTCCTTGCAATAATCAGAACTTCTATAGGGTTAGTCTTCCTGAAATTCTCGGAGCTTCTCCGAACATCACGTAGCATCTGTAATGATTTTGAGGCCTTTGTAAATAACGATTTCCCTGAAGTTCTTTAAACTTCCCTGATGTTCTCTGCACTTCCCAGAAATTCTTTAGATTTTCAGAAATTCCTTGAACTTCCCTGAATTCCAAAATCTCCAAACTTCTGTGGATTTAAATGAAGTTTCACAAATATACAAGATATTTTCAGAACTTCTCCTAAGTTGGCGCAAATTTCCTAATACTCATGATTTTTTTCTGACACTCTCGTATTTTTCTGGAATTCTCTCTTCTTTCTCCTAATCTTTAATGAAGTGTTCTTAATTTATTTGAAAACCTTTGGACTCTTGTTAATTAGTATAGACTTGTCCATGCTCTTTGGATTTCTCTAAAGTTCTCTGCACTTTCCCGAAATTCTCTGGCCTTTCAAAAATTCTCTGGACTTCCCTGAACCCCACAGAATTTCTTAACAGTATCCACAGTTAACCTGAGGTTATGAATTCTCGAAACTTCGAAAGTTTATATAGCGTCTTTTGAGTTTTTTGGACTTCCCTAAAATAATCAGGACTTAACTATTTTCTCTGAGCTTTGATGAAGGCTGAAGTTATCGGAATTGCCTTAAAAATCTGTGAGCTTCCTTAAGCTCTTAAAACTTTCTGTTTTTAATGTTCCCTTCATGTTCTCTGGACTTCCGTGCAGTATTCCGTACTTCCTTAAAATCTCTAGATTATCTAGTTTTCAGAAGGTTTTGAAAGTTCCTACATCTTCTCTGCAGTTAATGAAGCCACCTGGAGCATTGCTACTCAAGTGCCTACAATATTGTGGTCAACGTCACCGATTTCAACCAAACTTTGCAAAAATGGCTTATTTTAATAGTTTTAGAGAAAGCCTTTTAGGATTTTGCTCGAAAGAAAGTTCCACAAGCTTCCATGATTTTTGAATATAGCATAAGTTTTCACAATCCTCCTGCTGTTGTTCTTGGAACTGTCCCTAAATGAATGGAATTATAATAAAGATTTCTGAAGCTCTCTGACTTCCGTGAATTTATTAAAACGTCTACGATGTTTTCGAAATTTTTATGAAGTTCTCTAAACTTTTCTAAACTCCTATAGGCTTTGCTGAAATTTTCTAGTCTTTCTGAAGGTTTTCTCTATTTTTATAAAATTAGTGGAACTGTCCCAAAAATTGTTGAATTTCCTTGGCCTCACCTAAATTTCTAGGAACTTCCTGCAATTTTCCTGAAGTTATTGGAATTTCCCCTACAACTCTTCTTAAGTGTCACAGGATGGCTGGACGTTTGTCAGTAGAAATGATAAGCCATAAAGCTTGAGTCATTTAATATCTGGACGCACTGTGTATTTTACTGCAGTGTTCCAAGTGGTCGGATCTGGAATGTTTTGACAACAGTTCGTTTTGCAGTGTGTCACGGTTCATTTTGTTTACAAGAAGTTACACTTGATGGAAGCTGCGAACAGAAAATTCATTGGAGAATCCGACATGGTCAGGTTCAAAAATCGCGAAGCCGTTGAAATTGACCACTTTGTCAAGCACAGGGTTGCTTCCACTCACTTGCTATAAAAAAATATTTTTCGGAATTATGCAATCATTAGATGTTATAATGATATGTTGTACTGGTAAGTAACAAGAAGAGGGTGTAAAGTATGTGTTTGACTGATAAAACCTATCAATTCCGCTTTCAGAGCGTCACATTACAAAACTATGGCGTACAAAGTAGTGTTTTTGTTGAGTTGTGCTGTGAAAATAAATTCATAATTTCGTGTGAAATAGTGGTGTGTGCCGCGAAAGGATTATTCCAACGCGTGCCCGTGGTGTTTTTCTAACAGGATAAGTAGAGGAAAGGTTGCCTAGCAACTAGTTTTTGTTTAATTTTGTATTTTTCCCCCGGCGCGCTATTGCTTTTGTATAGTAAGCTGTGGCGGTAAAATTTGATTTTGTGTTCTCCTCCCCTGTATATGTCTGCTGCTAACAGTGTTAGCGTTTAATTTGGTAGAATGGATGTGTGTAATGTATGCGAGCAGTCTATTGCTATGAGTGGGCTCCCAGTTACGTGTGTAGGTCCGTGCAATGGAACGTTCCATTTCGCTTGTGTGGCACTCACTAAGACTGCGGCCAGGCTTATAGCAGATAATGCAAATGTTCTGTTCAAGTGTGATAGTTGTCTATCAGATCAGAGTTGTGACGAGCAGAATGATCTGATCTCGCGCGTCAAAAGGATAGAGGAAGAGATGAAAAAGGTTTTTCAACTCTCGGACTCGATCACTGACATGCGAGATGACATTGCTGCTCAGGTGGACATCGCGGTTAAAAGCGGGATGGCAGATATTAGAATAAATGTAAATGGTCTTGAAAATTTGATTTGTGAGAAATTGGATAATATGAAAAGTTCATTTTTTAAAATTGATGCGGAAAACCAATTAGCTGTAAAGAATGATCAGTGCAGTTCATCTAGGACGATTCAGTCGGAATCGGACAAAAATACTAGACGCAAAAAACGTAAATTAGTAATTAGTAATAGTGATCATGATGATGATGTTGTTTTTCAAGAAAATGCGAGTTTTGCGGATGTTGTAAAAAGACATAGTCGTATTAGTCAAAGTAAAACTAATAGTAACAGTAATAGTAAAAGTAACAAACCAGAAAATCGTAAGACTCGTCCAGTCATTGTGATTAAACCGAAAGAGTCCAAACAACCTTGCGAAGATACTCGTGAGTTTTTGAAAAGTCAGTTGGATCCAAAAACACACAAAATCAGTAATTTTAGGAATGGTAAAGATGGCTCCATTATTGTTGAGTGTGCAACAGGAGCAAACGTAAGTGATGTGAAAAATGGTATTGAAAGCAATCTGGGTGAAAAATATAGTGCTGTTGTTCCCACTTCGGTGCCAAGATTGAAAATAGAGCATGGATTGCAAAAATTGTGATAGATGCTCTAGGTGCAGCCAACAACACAAAACGTCGGAGTGTACGTCAACTGTACTGAAATGTATTAATTGTTTGAAAATGAATAAAGAACGAAAAATGAACTTGGACGTCAACCATGCCGCATTTAGCTCGGAATGTTTGCTCTATAAAAGACTTTGTGATCAGAAGAAAAGCAGCTTGCGTTTCAATAAATAGCAGCCAAGTTCCAGGAATGTGAATCAATTCGATTTTTTATATTTGAATATTGCGGGGTTGTCAACAAACTACGTAGCATTACGTCAGATTGTTGAGGAAAAACGTCCTCTTTTAGTTTTATTATCTGAAACTCATATTG